ATATCGTAAAAATCTGTAATTTGAATCAGCGATATGACGCCTTATATTTTGATGTTTGGTGATGTGTTTACATTATAGTTTAGTAATCTGAAATTAAATTATGTGAGAATGGTGAAAAACAGAGATTTTCCACCGGATGGCCACTTTACACATTACCATTAGTAAAGTTTTCAGTGAATTTCTAACTAAGGTAAAAAAAAATTCATAAGAGCAGCTGTAAAAACTGAACAAATTCGATTGGAAAGGACTACATCTACTAAAAATTGAGAAATGTTTCAATTTCATGAACTAAGCGAACCATACATTCAGGAAGCCATGGAGTTCAAACTGTTTTTTCTCACACACTTTTTTTACAAAAATTGAATACATAAATACTACAAATAGTTAAAATGGGGTTTATTTAATTAGTGGATTATATTATAATATTATATTTCCCATAGAAAATACTACTCTTATTGGTGGGAGAGGGATATCTATGAAGGTTAAAAGCTAAAAGATGAGGTTTGGTCTATATACTCGTGGAGATTTTTTAAGGAATGTGGAAGTAAATTGATATTTACTACAAAATAATCTGGCCTAAAACGCCGGATTATTATTGAGTACGATTTTATATTTTATCGAAGTAGAATTGTTGTAAATAAATATTGATAAATAATAATTAACATTATATTCCGTAGCACAAAGTTATTTTTTAATTTGATTTCCCCTCACGTCCATTGTTGAACTTGTCTCAACCAGGCGCCATTGGTTGGCAAATGTGACATACGTAAAAACGTAGTCAGTATACAATAAGTTGAAAAATAATGTGATCACGAAAGACGGAAGGGTTTCTATATAATTCAATAATAATTAATACAATGGACGAAATATAATTTTGTTAACAATATTGTATGCATGTCGAATACGATAAAACATTATAATATTATTCACGGTCGTAAGTATATTATATATCTACTCATATGTATAGTGTTAGCATGTTATATCATAATATACGAAAATAATTAGATGAATTATTTAAACTCGAAAATACGATATAACTACAAGTACCTACTGGTCCATTTCAAAAAGTATATCATTGCATTTTTCTAAACGAAAATCATAAAATATAATACATATATGTGAAGGTTAGTAACTAATAGTCCATTTTTAAAAATTTTTCGGCAAAGCAAAACTTCTCTACAGTTGCACGGACTACATTATTCTTTTAACCAGCACATCAAATACTTCATCTCCAATATAATCTAACTGAACTTTTCTTTTTATTTGATCAAATAGGACTCAAAATTAGCACCATCATAACTCTATTGAATAATAGAGTTATCTCAAATTAAAAAAAAAATGGACTAGTCGTTTCATTCCCTGTGCCCTTCGTGTACTCGTATATTATATACGATACTAGAACGAAAGTGGGATATCTAACATTACAATTAATAGGTACCTATAAAGTAAAATACATTAATCACTGAAAAAAATTAATTGTATGTTTTCACCTTTAAAAATTTTCGAAATAGCCAATATAATATAATATAAAAAATATCTAAAATATATTATTCTGACAATTTGAATGTCTCGTACATTCATACCCGATCAATTGTTTCTTAAACATAGTAGCTGAAAAGTGGGGTAACATTTGGGTAATATTTTAGGATACTCTGTATTCCATATTTATATCAAATCGTATTTACATAATAAATTACATAAACTTGTTTTATACTAACAGTTTTTATTTGTGTGTAATGTTTTAACTAAATGCTTATATCACTTAAGTATTTAATAATATTTCTTGATTTTAAGTACTATAAAGTATTAAGACGCCAATATGTACAATTAATCTGTATAAATAGTTAAATCTCATAAAAATTATCTAGATACATATAAAGATAAAAAAAATTTAAATGTTATCAGAGAAGACAACAGATACGTGAAGTTTATCTAGATATAAAGAGCATAATTTTTGTTTGTCAGTTTTTGATTGTTAAGAACATTATAGTAGAGAGTTACCAATTTAAATAGATTATATAATTCTGTAAATGTGAAAGATTTAAATCACAAACTAGTAAAAGCAAATTATTAACTAAAAGTAACACTTATATAGTTATTTAATAATTTCTATAGTGAAGAAAATTTTTTCTTTTGGTTTATTTTTTCTATATAATTTGTGAAATATAATTAGTTTGTAACATAGAGAACTATGAGTTGGTTATCGACATTTTCACCCAGATAAGATAAAAGATAAAAAATAATATCTAAATGTATTTCAATACTGATTGTATATTGCTATCGTATTATTTTGCGGAACTTTAGAATCTCTATGCAATAATAATTTAGTAAAATGCCTACTACTTTGTCTTAAGTTAATAAAATAATAAGTATGAGTTAAGTTCAAGCAATTCAAATAAAATATTAATTTTCTATTTACGGTATGATATGAAATGCGTTCATTTTTTTATATAGATGATCTTGAACTTTGTAATAACGATTAACTTCACTGTATATGACTATAGGATTTTTTTTAAAAAAAATTCATGAAAATATAATTTGTTACTCTCGTTTACTGTAATTTTTCATTTTCTTATAGATATTAATCGCGTAACTGATCAATAGCCACTATTCTATAACTAGCAAAAAATATTTCCTTGTGACAATCTTTTGTCTAATAGTTTCAAATTGTATTACCAATCTTGTTTGCAACAGCCGCTAAGAACTCAGTTAATTTAAAATAAGGAATCACGTATAGGCGGATGTCCGAAAAACGTCTCGGTTTTCTTTCGTTTTATTTATATTTTAAATTTCATCATTATGCCCATAATACTTTTATACGTTATAAAAAGTATGGACTAAATAGGTGATTAAATGTAGACAACTAGCACTAGATGAGCGAACGTAATAGTTTTCAATCGTCCCAATAGGATTATTTGAGCATTCTCTGACGGTGGCATAGTAATATTGTACGCTATACACTTAAATCTCACCATTGAAAATTAGGTAATCTCAAATTTTCCACCAAGCAGCTGCGGACTTAACCTATTTTGAAACCTTCGGTATATACGTACTTAATATATATAATCACATAGTCACAGTAAAAATGACCAGTCCCGAGAGTGCTTTAAGTTTTATAAAATTATATAAAACTAAAATCGTATCATGATTTAAGTAACTAATAATATATATTTTTTTAAATTCTAAATGAAAAAATATAAAGGATCCTTCAGAATAGAGATTTATATTTTTTTATTCAACCGATTCAAGTAAGATTAGGTCTATATCAAACACTTTGTGTATTAATTGACAACTACTTCTATTAATAAAATCCATTCCATCCATCATATTTTTCTATTTTCATATGAATTGATATTTAACATGAAATTAGAATTATTAGTTATTAATTTAGGGCACGGTTTTATATATACTTAAAATCCGTAAAAAAAGCGCTTAAATCGTCAAAAAAGCACTTAAAAATATTTAAAAAAGCAAGAGTGGTAGACGAGTTTTAAAGTTCTCACTCTGATTTCTCTCATTACAATAAATTATTTTAACACTGACAAGTGATTAACACGAAACATTTTATTTTTTATAACACGTACAAATATATTTGAAAAAAAATTACTTTAAAATAAAAAATTTTTAAGTGTTCCAAAATTATTTTTTATAAGTTAGAAACAGTAGAGGAGAAAACTTTCAAACTCTTATACCTTTATTACCTTTTTAAATATTTTCTAAGTGATTTTTTAAAGCTTTTATGACGTTTTCAAACTCTTTTTTGTTAATTTTAAGTGCATATAAATCTGTAACTGTCAATCTAATCTATTTTTAATATCTATATTTATTTTTATCTATATAGGTAGTTTTGAAAACTGCACTTTATTAATATTGTTAATTTATTGTAATTTTTTATTAAAGTATTATCAATTATTTCAGTTAAATATTTCTAAAAATTATCAATCGAGACACGGACGTGAGACATCGTAAATTTACAAAAGAAATTATTTTAAAATCTAATAAGGGAGAAACTTTATAACTGCCAGGACTTTTTGTACAAAAGTTGTGTGGTCAAATAGGCGTCTACCCTAATAATTGACGTCTACAGTTAGTGAACTTCAATTTTTTTTTAATGAAAATGCATGAGACGCTAGCAAGAGACTTTATAAGTTCAGTTTCAAACGATATTTTTTTTTTCGAATATGGTTCAGCAAGCTTTATTAATATATATATATATATATATATATATAGTAATATTTACATAGTATATGTGTGCATTTACAAATAATATAAAAGTCGTATAGAATAAAAACAGTTAACGAATAACTATGTTAACAAGACTTATCATACATATTGCTAAAAATATGAATTAAAAGATCGTGTTTTTTTTTCTTAATTATTTTAAATTTTCTAGCAAGAAGAGGTTAGTTGAGAAATACATTATTTTAAACAGAGAAATTTGACTTATCAACATAAACTATGAATGCTAATACTGGAATATTTTTACATTAGTTTTGTAAATGTGTTAAAAATATATGAAATATAATTACCATATAAAGTAATAGTTTATTATTATAATAATATTGCAGTTTGAAAATGATTCATTGCATTTTGTTTATTTAAATGTATGTTTTGTTTTAATGAATATTAAGGCAAATTTGAATAAATTATTGCAGGTGCAAAAAAAGGAATTTAATTTAATATTTTATGTGATATTATTAAGTACATAATGACAAATACGCCACGATGGTAACTGTAATAGCATCTAGAAAATAATTTGACTTTTAACCGTACAACACAGGGTTTGGTGAATTTTAGTTTTGGCGGAAAAACAACTAAAAAAAAAAAGCGCTAATACTACAGTTTGCCACTGTTAAAAGCGAGAAGTTGGAAAGTAGGATACACAAAGTTATTGAATTCAGTTTAGTACGCAACAATAATTCGATGCTGATGAAAAACGATTCTGAGCAAATATCGGGTTAACAAGTTCTGACTTCAAACAATTATATTAACATAAATCGAAATATAAAAATAAAAATATATAGTATTACATAAAATAAAGCAATTTCAACAAATATTAATATTAATGGCAACGTTCTAAAATGTCCGCGTTGTTAATTTGCGAGGATTATATTCCGGTATAAAACGTTGTCCGCACGTCTGTTTGAATCGGTTTGTCTGACAGAAAATTGCAGCGGTGTGGACTCGAGAATCGATTGTATAGCAGACGATAATTCCCTTCCCCTTCTTTTCTCCAACCTTATGGTAAATATACACTTCAAAGTAATGCGTATTCAATCTATTTAACGAATGTTTGGGGGTTTTGACCAATATTATTAACGGCAAAAAAAATAAGTCACCGCAGAATAAAACATAAATAAACAAAAAGAATATATGTTTACTACGCGGTAATTTTAGATTCCGAGTGGAACGAGGATTATCTCGGATTATTTATTGGAAGTATTGATTTTACTGCGATGTGTTATTTTTGTTCCTGCCCGGTTAATAAATATTCCAGTGCTCCGTTTGTTTTTTCGTTTTTTTCGATTTGTTGAGAAAAGTATACAAGAAAAATCGAAAAATGACCTCCTCGATGCATTAACTAGATCAAATATGTTATAAAAAATTTCTTACAAAGTTTTTTAATTGCAGCGACATTTCTGGTAGAAAAGTTATTTAAAGCAATAAAAAAAAAAAAAACATTTAGTAAAACATTTATATTACAATACAGTTTGCTTCGTTCAGAATCTAAAACGTCTCTATTATTTATGTGAAATTTGAAGTATACACATGCTGATATAAATTAATTTTTTATATTTTATTATACATAATATGTATATATATATATACTATATTATACTATATATATATATATATATTTGTATACAAATAAATGTATTAATATATTTATTTATTAATTTATTATGATTCATGATTTTCTTTTGAAACGTGTTATTATTTATACAAGATATTAATAGTTTTGAGATAGTTTTTTTTTTTCTTTAAGTAATGCACTATAATTATTGAGCTTTTTAAAAAAAATACTGGTATCCTTGACGGGAAGAATTCTGCGCACTCCTATACAGTGGTATTAGCGTGTTACTAGTACGTATACTCGTAAGTGACACGTTTATTATTACGATAGACTATAATGCCTCCGAACATATTTTATTAAACTGTTTATCTTGATTTAACGATTCTGGAATTGCACAATTTCTTACAATTATTACTATGCAAAAAACACTTATCAAAACGTCATTTTAATAAATATATTTGTATAATATAGTAGACAATATAATACCATTTAATAAGCGAATCCAATTGCGTTAATTCGACCCAATTTGCGTTTGAACGCGTTAAATTTAAATAAACAGAAGATTAGTTCTTCGTATATAGTAATAATAACAATATGCTGTTGTTAATAATAATGCGTGCAAAGAAGAACGTTTATATTTTAGATGTGCGAAAATAACTTTGACCTAACCGAAAATGTTTCCGGTTTCTAACCCATTACTACAATATTATAATTTATAACGCGTAATTCAAGTGTGTTAGCTTATACCTACTTAAACGTGAAATATAATTTTAATACATTTAAAACGGTAGAAACCTACCTATATTTTACTTGTTTGCGGGCACCACCACACTTAATTTGTTTACAGCACGATGAGCAATACACAAAGAAAACGGTATAATAGCCATACACTATTAATATTAGGTACAATAGATTTAAAAAAAAAAAAAAAAAACATTATCGGCTTCGTAAAAAACTAAAAATGATTAAAGTGTACCTAATAAAAAACAATTTCGTAAAATAATTATTGTAATATGTGTGACTATAATAATATCGGACTATACAATATTATAGTATAATATTACTGCAGGTAACAACTTTGTAATAATAATATTATACAACAATAATATATCTCGTATGTATTATCCAAGTGTTTATTTCGCATAAATTACAAAATGTTTTAGGCTGTGTATTTATAACATTGTTAACATTTTATACATTTATCTTTGGTTTTAAGGACGTGTTTGAGTAAATATATGTAATTGTTTTTGTATTTTATATTGTTAATTTTATCTTATGTAATTTTTTTTACTCTTTGGTCTAAATAATAATATAAGTATGTAAATAATTCATAATCTAACAAATGCGATACTGAAAACTAAAAGTATACCTTAAGTCATTATCATGTACTATAGAAATTATGTCATATAACAATTTTCAAATTTTAATTTGTTTGTACCTGTTGAAAACTATACAAATATGATTTGGATATTAAATTCTTAAAACAAACTAGTTCTATATAATATTCGTTTTCAAATAAAAAGAGAAACTTTTTTTTAATTATTTACTATCTAGAATTACTGCGAAACAAAAAATTAAAAAGTTAAATTTAGGAACGAATAATATCATTATTATTGTTTGATGAACTGAAACACGAAATAAAACAAAATTAAACAATTTTTTGCGACGAGGAGAGTTAGGTATTTGAAATAAAGATTTTCAGCTTCTGTAAAATATAGGCACCTAATTGAAAAAAAAAACGATATCTATTTACATAATCAACATTATCAAAATTTACTTACAAACGTTCAACTCCGAAACGCTACATAGGTATTTAAATATTATTACATAGGTATTTGTACGTAAGTACTTAAAATACGTAAGTCAGTGGTGGATTAATCAATTTGTCACCTACAAGCAGAAGAAAGCCAGAGAATTTAACCGATTTTCGCCCATAGTAGATCTTAAATAGGGTTTAGTTCTTGTAAGACACAAAAACGATCTCTCCGCAGAACAATCAGTATCCGCTATACAGGAGTATATTTTCAATTAATTCTTGAATGGATCCAACACAGCAAAACAAATGGTTTTTAATTTGTCTTTAGCATTAAAATCTACTTCATTAGCTCTAAAATTATCTTTGTCTAGTTAGTCACATAAAAGACGTTGCACAAAACGACGTTTTTGGTCCAATTCATATTCTTCTTTTCTATTTTTTTTTTTTTACTTCATCAATAAAATTATGAAATATTTCATCAGTTTTTATTTCACTCACATAACCAATTAAAGAGTTGTACAAACCAACAACATCTTCTAAATTAGGTGATGATGATTGAAAAATGTTGCTTATTTTATTAAATCGTTCTAACAAAGAAGTCCAAAATACGGTCATGAAGACCTACCTGAATTTACATAAGTTGTTATTCAAACCTGCAGCTATTTATGAGTATTTCAGAAGTATTATTTTTACATCATTCAATATTTCCAAAAATGTTTCCATCTTTTTATGAAAGCAGAACATGCATTATAACAACTAGACCACCCTATCTTATGACCGAGTCTCAATTTCTCTTTCATCAATTGCCATCAATAAGTAGATTTTACAAAGAAATCGTAGCTGATTTCTAAGTAATCTTAAAAAAAAAAAAATGCTTCTTCTTTGGTAGAATCGACAACGGACATTCCGAAAACTCGAGTTGTTCGCGTTCAACGAAACCATTTCAGTGAGTTAATAACCTAAAGCCTAATACCTATAAAACAATATGTATATTTTTTTATTTTAGTGTGGCAAATTTGCGGCCTTCAAAATTTTGCCACTCCAATCACCTGCTTACTCTTCCTGTAAGGTAACCGGACATTGACGTAGGTATGTATTTGAATATTTTTATATTGGCAATTGTATAATATTATTACAAACATTGACTGATATTGCATTACCGGATAAGTAAATATACATATTTTAAAATTCGATATTATAGGTAGCGATTGTATTTTATGTACATATATATATATATATATATATATATTATTTGTTTAGTGTACATCAATGAAATTACTATTTATATATTACATTATTGAATTTGATTTAACTACACACAGTTTATAGTACTCTTGTAGCATGTATTGTATATATTATGTATAGATATAAAAAATAAAATAGGTACCGAGGTCGATTTTATAAAACTATTATAGTAGGTACTTTTAAATCAATTGTACACACTACACACCATGTGGGTGAAATTAATACTGGAAATATGACAATGAGTCAATAAGATAACAAATGACGTATTCATTGTGTACATATAGGTATATATTGTATTATAATAATAATATTATATGCGATAGAAATAAATAATTCTGATTGATGATGTGAAGTGAGAATATAATTTGATTCGTATTAATTTGATACAGCAAATAACGCTATAGATTCAAACTATTTCCAATGTGTTATAAAGTTAACCTTATAAAAACAAACGAACATACTTCGCATGATGGGTGAGCCACTGTTGTAGGTGAGAAGTTGGGAAGGTATAGGGAAAATATAATATATTATATATTATGTACGCAACGATTAATCATTAAAAACCAAAAAAGATTCTGAACAGAGTTTGGTTATAAATTCAGTTTTGAAAGGCCGTAATATTTACGAGTTAAAAAATAATACATTTCGTACATTTTTCCGTTTTTCCTACGTTTTTTCCCACTTATTATGAAAATCCCCGTAAAAACCAAAAAGTTACCTTCTTAAAGTAGTTACCACATCAGTCAAATTTTCTTTCTGAAAAAATGCTACACTTGAAAAATAAATAAACAATAAACATATCATTGGAAAGTAAAATAAAAAAAACCTTAAAAAAATATGAATATTTACAACAAATAAAATATACTCTTTATAACTGACTATAATCATGAACACTTTTAATCTGCTATCACCTACTATCACTAGACAGAAATTACCTATTAGACATACATTTCGGGTTTTTTTTTTGGAGGGGGGGTAGAACATATTATGAAACATAAACTGTCTAAAAATGGTTTTTATTTATACATTTTTACGAGGCCGATTAGTGAGTTTGAATTCGGTATTAAAAAAAAAATAATAATAATAATGTCCTACGCGCAATTAATTAAATTTTTAAAATTGTGGTACAACATTATTTTCTAAGTATAGCATTTTGCGTGTCCATTCAGAGAGTAACGTGTTCGAAACGAATGGTTGGTCAACCGGAACGTCATCAGTCTTCGGCCTACCCGATTCTATATAGCCGTATTGGGAGTTTACGTGTATTTTTTGGATTTCGATGACAATAACTTATTGCAAAACTAAAATACTCGTATCATTGAAAAGATCTGTGCTTGAAAATAATGGATACAATAATATACTCGTATTTCTTTGACCATCTCGTTGCAGTGTTTATTTTATACAATAAATAATTGGACGAATCCGGTAGTAAAGCTATTTTAGAATTTAAATTCAAGAGAATCATTGCAAGTTTTCTAAATGTTCTCCAATTTTATACAGTTTAAAAATTAATGTTTACATTTTAATGACTACCTCCAGATACCTATTTAAAAAGAAAGGGTGCAGCCATTTTTACGAATAAATATGACGTTATAGGCATTCAAGTGGTGGACAATTAAACATATTTTCCAATATCCAATTTCAATTATTAAAATAAATATGTTGATAAAATATCTAGGTTATATAAAATATAGATTTTTCGATTTAAAATTTGACGAATCCAAAAAAAAAAAACTACAAAGGAAGAAAATCATTACATAAGACCTAATGGTGATAGGGTGTATCACAATTGTAGGAGCAAGGTTGGGAAAGTAGGATATATAAGGTTATTTAATTTATGTATTTTAACGATTAAATATTGAGAACGAAGAAAAATTAAAAAAAAAAAAATTGTTTATACATGATTCAAAAGACCGTAAAATTTACGATTTTCATCAAATTCTATCCTTAGACCATTAAATAAAAAATAAATAATACCTTACACTATACTGCTTTTCTTTGACCATTAATTATAAATTATAATCAGTGGCAGATAATTTTATTACTTTTCACCTTTATATCTAGCAAAACAATTTTTAAATTATATTATATACATTTAAATAATTGGGAAATTTCAATAATGATCTATTATCATAAAATACAATGCAAAATACAAACGAATGCCTCAAAGAATATACAAGTTGACGATAATAATTTACCTATATTAAATTTATAAGGAAAAAAGGATAATTTAGTATTCACACGAAAATAAGTAGGTAAGGAAAGTTCTTAATAGTTTTATTTTAACATGTCACATCCTACAAGTTATGCTGTCTATTAACCTAAAAAACTAGAAAACTTTTCTCTTCAGAAAAACTTGTTCTATATATTCTGTATTGCTGTATTGGTACATTTTTACATTCAATACAATTAGTAAAGCTTTATTAAAAGCGTTTTAAATTGATTTAAAATTCAAATCTAAAATATCGATTTTTTTGTATTAATTATTAATTTTTTATTTCAATCATGTTAACACTAATTTTATGCTAAAATATTTTCAACATAACTGATTATATAATAAAATTAAAAATTATGATTGATTATGATTTTATAGTTGACAATATGTATATTGTAAACTATAAACAATTAACTGTTATGACTCGTAAGTCATACTAGCTTTTCGTTTTTACATTTATGTTGATCAAATTCGTTAGAAACATGAACAATTGTAAATCAAGTTTTAGTTGAAATTGAATATTTACAAATTTTATTAAAATTTGTGAAAAATATGTTTATTCGAGCTCTACTCAAAATTGTTTTTTTTTGTTTGTATTCTGTTATTACAATAAATTCTATGATAACTCTGTGGTCTACATGCTCGTAATATGATGGTGTAAAGTATGTTCCGTTCGACATTTTTAAGTATTTGCAAACAATTTAAGAGCTTATTATTTAACGTTTCTGTTAGTTTTTTCTTTTTTGTATTTTATTTACATCGTGATTTTAATCGTATATTATTATTTATCTCGTAAAATAAAACTTTTTCAGGTGCCAAAAATGCATAAAATATATTGTTTTTACAAACATTCAAATAAATTTACCTACACAAAATATAAAACGCAATGTTCCATAATAATACGAGTATACATACATTATTATATTTGTCTTCACACTATGATCTTCCTGAATAAATATAGCTAGGTGCATAACGATCACGGGTATTTCATTGTAATAAATCTCAAATTCACTTCTTCAACCCCACGAAAAAAAAACGCATTTCAAAACTTCACCGTAAACTACTTTATTAAAAAAATAGCTGCGGTTAAATTTCTTAAAAAAAATAAACTGAACCCGTAAGGATATATCATCATAAAAAGAAATTGATTAGTTGAGCATTGATTGGAACAAATGTTCTAGCTGAAAAGTTGATTAGACACACGAAAATATAGTGGAGCTGATACTGCTGACGGATGTGTAGGTGGGAAGTTAGAAATGCAGAATATATACAGTTATTTAATTTATTTATGTACGCAACGATAAATCATTGCTGATGAAAAACGATCTTGAATGGAGTTCGGATAAGCAATTCTTTAAAATACATTACAACAATACAGGTATTAATTTATGATTTTAAAATAAAACAACAGTGCCGTCCGAATTACCACCTTTATGCCACCACTACAGCTGCGAACACGTGGCCACCTCCCACCTTCCCAGTACAATAACCGCAACTCAAATTACCCGATTTAAACCACAACCACAACTGTCACTATAAGTTTAACGGCATCGATTTACGCGAAATACCGTGATTCAAACATTTTAAATTTCCAAGTTGGGCTAAAATTCGACAGAATATTTTAAAAATTTGACGTCGTGGATAAAAAGCCAATAAAAGTATTCTATACAAATTGCTGAACATTAGCATAATTTTACTCGAATTACGACAGTAAATAAAAAGTCGAAAATAACGAAACCGTAAATTTGTTCATTTGTTCTATGTTTTAAACATATTTTTCTACACTTTGACCTAAAACATATCTATATTTTAGATTCTAAGCGGAGTGAAGAATGTATTAATTTAACAATGATGTTTATTTTTCTTTCCATGAACAACTTGTCTACTAAAAATCATTCTCCAATTTTCAAGTACAGTACTTTTTCTGAAAGTATATTTTATTAAGGGGTTTTTTAAAGAAGTTATATTTTTATTTTTCAAGTGGTTTTTATAATAATTGGGAAAAACCCGTAAGAAAAACGGGACAATTTATAAAATGTATTATTTTCAGTTTTGTTTTTGTTATGATTCAGTTAAAAATATTTATAGATACTTGAAATTCGGACAGAAAATTTATAATTATATTTCCTAGAGGTGGTAAAAATATTTTTAAACATAGAGCTTTTTTGAGCTATTTATAGACACTTTAATTTTGCTAGATTTTTACGTAATTTTTATTCGGTAATTACTCTGTGAATAAAATTGTCAGACCAAACATACAATTTTACAGGAAGTTTATTATAAGTTATTACTTTATGGAAAAAAAATTGAAATTTGTTATTTAGAATTTTTTTTTCAATAAGAATTTTAATATCAAATTTTGACGAAAATCTTAATATTACAGTTTTTCAAAACATATGTAACTCCACTCAGAATTGTTTTCATTAGAAACTTCGTCGTTAAATTCCTCTATATATCTTATAAGTTTTATAAAACAAAAACCCTGGTAGATACCACTACGGATTTACAGTTTTAGTTTAAACGGTTAACACCTTTGACAAAACAAAATTATAAAAATCCCTCTACCTTAGTCACATTAGTACATACTTATTATTCGTTGAAGACTCAGAACTAAACTTCGTACACCACATGTAAACATTTCAACTCGCATTAATCCGTCACACTGAAAGATTACCTAAATACAGAACATATTATAAACAAGGCGTTATAATCAGGTATTCAACGCTATTCATTCCAGTGTAAAAAAAGCGATCAATGTTTTTAAAAACAGCTGAAACTCCTAATGTGTGAGCCACTGATTATAGATAGTAAGTTTAGTTTGTAGAATATACATAAAGTAATTTAATTTATATGAGCACTACAAAACTATAAATCATTGCTAACGAAACACGATTCTGATCAATTTTTTTGATAAGTATGCTTTGAAATGCAAAATTTAATTTGAAAATGCCTATTAATAAAACTATTACATAACGCTCAATTCATTTGTACACCACTGAGAACAACTTATAATACTTATTGTATACATCGTGTAAAATTTGAACATATTTCTAGTAAAATGTAATATGAAAATAAAATAATGATAATAAAGTTGATTTATACAATGATAACCAAAATATAAAATGTCAGACAATTATGATTACTTATCCAAAATAATAATAATATAGGTACCCACTAAATTTAGTAAGGATTATATATTAACTATTAATATTACTAGGTATATGTTTAACTTTCCTGTAGGTACTATAATTTATATATTTATATTAGAAAATTAGCAATATTTTATATGTTAGTTACCTTTTAACTATTTAAATTAATAACTAGTTAACCTAATTAAACTGATAAATAACCTCAGTACCAAATTAATAATGTAACCTAATGATTAATTAGCTCTAATACTTTTGTTTATCTCGTTTGTATTGATTTTATATTTCTAATCGTATTTTTCATTACAATAAAATACAATATTAAGCTTACTCAACTTGTTTGATTGTAAAAATATGTGATATTTTGATCCAGGAGAACGCGATAACGTTGTGATAATGATAACCAACGAGAAAAGTGTATTCGACTGCAAAATTGCAGTGTCTTGCGATTATGATATCTTTTTGCATGCCGTGAATAAATGAGTCAGCTTTGCAGGTTGGGAAACACATTTGGATAATGTGAATTTTTGTATGATCAAAGTTGTGTATAAAATCATAAAGAATCGCACGTACAAATTCTTAATAGGTACATATTTAAATACCAATCTAAATAATCGAAATTATGTTATTATAGATCAAGTCAATAGTACTTGTAGCTGTTATTTTTAAAAAGATATATTTTACACAGGTAAATTCGATTTTTGAAAAACAATTTCTTAAAATTCGTAATAGTAATCATAAGACATCATATTATATAGGAACGTCATAATAATAATAATAATAATAATATATTTCCGGCAATATTTCTATTTCCGTCGATAGCGCATCGAAACGCATCACGAAAATAAATTAAAAAATCTGGTTCGCGAAAAATAAATAAATAACGCTGCAACTTTTCACACCGAAATTAATTTTGCTTTCGTACATAATATAAAAATCTAAATAAATTTACTATACCTACATAGTAAAATACACCCACCCAATGGTTGCATGTAATTTTATATCGTAATACATATCGAACCTATAGTATAGATATAGGTCTTTACGCAGAAAGTTAAGTTATTTAAAAAAAAAAACTGATTTTTTCTCGTATATCATAAAGGAATTTGCAGCAATCGTTTCCTTAAAAACTAAATCATAGATACTAGTTATATTATTATAATATCATAATCGGTATAAATATACATTTTAGGCAACTAATTATTAACCCAATTCCTGTATTATATATATATATATGAATTTAAAAGTTAAAACTATATTTTTACTCGCTTGTTTTGGCATTTATTTTATGTATTATTATAATAATATTATAGCTGTATAAAAACAAATTTAATAACGTAAATTATGATTCATGCCTTTTGGAGGCGAGTACTTTGTGCGAGACACGTGAAACTAGAAACAAAATAATGGGAAAATAAAATGTTTTACACATACGTTACAAGGGAATTTACATGGTTTAGAAAATGCCAAACAAACCCCTGATACATTTGAACAATATCAAGTATTATTATTACCGTACTATACAATACATAATATAAAACTGATACATACAAATAGTGCTTTGATCCGAAAAGCAATTTAAAAGGTGAACGAAAATGGATAGAAAGTATGGGTACTAAAATATCTACCGACTATTTTGACAAAAAAATTGATGCTAATGATAAATGTATATAATGACAAAACATAGGTACCCAGTGTTTTTTCCGTAAAACGTACACGTGAAAACCTACTAAAAACATTCATTTTTTTGATTTTATTGAAAATAATTTGTAGTATCCCTACTCTTCTTCACGAAATTACGTTTCCAGCTACACTCTCAAAATTGAAGACGTTTAATTTACGATAATGGTATTATAATATTATAATTTATAACGAATCAAGTACAAGAAACTACATCTTAAATATGAATTTATTTGAAGTCAGAATAAACTGAGACATTTAAACCATGCAAATTTAAAGAGAACCGCATACTTGTGAGTTGGGAGGAACTTATGTTTTTATAATGTCTAACAATTACTTTGACACTTATAATCATGTGGTAGGTATATAACTATAAGAATTCAATCTTTAGCCTAGTCAGTTTTTTTATCGTTAAAACTGTTTGGAAAAATAGTTTCAGTGGACACAACCTATAAATAGCTATACGATTAATAAATATACATAATCTTCCAAGTACCTACGACATACATCCAGCTCCATGGGACGTGACCTATCTATGCTTAAACGCTATACGAACGTATTTTTCAAAAAATTGAATGCCCTATTCAATAACGTCTAAAAAAAAATATATGTAGGTAATTTGGGAAACGAGGGAAAATCGTGTATGTTGTCAACTTATTACAAAAATGTAGGTACACATTGTTTTAAATTTTCTTAATCATTTGGTCAAAAATCCGTCGACTGTTTGCACCAAAATATAACTCAACCCCTTTAGCAATTAAGACAATTATTATCGTAGACGGCGATAAGTAATAAATCGTATTATTACCTAATGATTGGTTATTCATATATATTATGTATACTGTCTTCAATGATTCATTTTATTTATTCTGCATGTAAATTTGTAAATGCTTATTATTTATGTTTCGTTTTCTTATTATTATTATATGCATCTTAATTATTTGATTTGATTAATTTTCAATACTATATAACTATATTTTTATTAATTTTTGTAATGTTGTATTTCATGTAATTTTATTATTTTTAGTCTTAGATACTAAAAAATAAAATTAGGTTTTAAAGTTATTTTTTTTTTGAGTAAAACGTTTTTTCTCTACATGGTTTAAATATTTAATACTAAAATTTAATAAATAAATAACAGTAATGTTAAAAAGTATCATATAGCGGTTGTAGAAATTAAAAAAACAAAAATACTGCATGGGTTATAACTGTTATTAGTAACGTTTTAGTATCAAAGCAAATACAATTCCAAAACTGAATTGTTCCGAAATATACATTTCCCTTTCAATTTTAAACAATAAATTTATTTACAGGAATAAAAAGATCAAATGTGATTTTTTGCAACCTCCCTCCTTCCTCCTCAGAAATATTATTAATAAAAAAATAGATTTAAAATTGTTTATTTCACGATATAAATAAAATATGCCAACGTATATATTGAATTAAATAATCATCAGTATTTTAAAAGCCGCAAACAATTTAGTTTTAAAATTTGGTTTCATTGGTTTCACTTTGTTATTAAAAATAAATATTGTAATTTTTGATTTACAAATTCAGCCATTGATTATTCTTTTTTTTTATCATTTAAAAATAATAATTAGTGCTCTATGAGGTTTCCCGGTGATTTTCTTTATAATTTGTAATGCTTTTTTTATTTTATTTTAAATGCATTTTGTAGTATTTTATTTAGCTTAACATCTGAATTCTAGTTATTTGATTCTTAAAAATATATACAATTTTCCAAATTATTAAGTTTTACATTGTATTATATTAAAAAAAAAAAAAAAACCAAAAACCAAAAATTATTCAATCGGGTTCAATGTGTGCAGCAGTGTACATAAATTTGATCGACAGACATAAACTCTGAGTATGAAACCTAACATGTTCATGAAAAAGTACCGGGAAATTAAATAGGTAGGATTAGGATGTAATTATAAAAAATGGTCAATTGCGTGGCAAAAAAGTATCAGTGACAAAAAACACTTGTCGATTATTTTAAAACCCGTGTGTTTTAGGTTTTAGTGTAATATTTTGAATCAATTTTTATTTATGAAAATAATTTTTTAAAGTTAAAACATGCCTACCCGTGACCACTGTTATAGGTAAGTAGTTGAAAAGATAGGAACGATAGGATGTGAAGCGTAATTAAGTTTATATTACAGTATGCAACGGTAAATCATTGCAAACGATAATCGATTATAGGCGTAGTAGTATTAGTCGTGTTTTTTTTTGTTACCAAGGAAATTCAGACATCAATAAACATAAAACAAAAAACACCTAAGAGTGATCTGCCGAAAATTTCAATAAATATTTCAAATAAAGTTCATCTGGTAAATTTCCGCATTTTGTTTGAGGTACTGCATGAAGAAATTGAGATATTTAACTAACTAAAAGTGTAAATTAAAAAAAGCATGCAAAGCAGTTTCTTAAAAAGTGTATTTAGGAATTTATTAGAAATTTTGAAAATAATTTTAAATAGCATCATAAAGTGAAAAATTAGTGTTTATATGGTCTAGGGTGACATGAAAAACCCGGAGCATTTTTACTAACCGAAAAAAAACAAATACACACCTTTATAGAAAATTCGCTAAACATTCAAAATCATCAAGTTATAATCTTATTTGTTTTGTTCGATAAAATATATGAACTTATCAAAGAAATGACATTTCGTGATTTTGACATCGGTAATAAATAAAATATATTTTTTTAACCTGCCAATTATTATTATTATTCACGTAAAATTAAAAAGTTCAGGTGTTCAGACGTTTATAAAATATAGGGAATTTACTATAATTTATTGAAGAAATTAATGGTGGTCGTTCTTTTTTTTTTTTCTTTTTTTTTAACGTTTATTAATCTTGTGGCTTTTGTGATTATTTATGGGTTACGTTGTATCATAAACAAATTTTAAAATATACCTACAAAAAGTTCTAATCAAAAATTATTTATAAACATTTAACTTTTATGTATACTTTAATAAATAAATTTAAAAAATCATTAATTTTAATAGTATTATTAAGATAATTTCTAAGTAAAAATGTATTAAATATTAAATTTGTATTTTTATCCAAGAAATAAAATTAATAAAGCCATTCAATTTTCTATACATTTAATATAAATGCATAAAGGAACATCCGATAATATCTTATTTTAAAAAACGAGTTTTAAACGAAATTAATGGCACACATTTTGCATTGTAATAGTGGGACACAGTGGTCTATTAAATTCTGCCATAGGAGTCGAAATAAAAAAATAAAAATGTATGCTGACAATAGACATACAATAATGACTAGAATATTGTCAAACAAACGTTTTTGTTACTACTTATATTTCAAAATCTGTTTTCCTTTGTTTATTTAGTTCTAAATCAATAAGTAATAATAATTGTTTAAAATTTGACAAATAAGCCTTTTAGTATTTTGTGTATGTTGTAAATTATTAAAGTATTTAATAAAAGAAGATACTATATTGTATAAAATTCGAATTTTTAAAACTCGCATAAAAAAAAAAATTATTCACACCTCGGATAGGTCTTTGTTATGAATAGGAAGTTGAGGAAGTAGAGTAAATATAGCAAGAAAATGTAATAGTGATTTTTTTTTTTAAACAGCGGTTAATATTTTTATTTAAAGTGATTGATCGTTGCTTTATATACCCTTACATATTCATGAAGCAAGGAAGATAATCGTTTGTATTTGCATGGTGTACATCCTATGCGGCCGTGAAATCAAATAATACGACTAAAGTTTTTAGTAAAAAGTTGAAGTCTGCCTCAATAAATGAAGTCAGTGATAAGACTTGATCTGAAAAGTTTCGTGCGGATTAAAAACCAGCTAGTTCGACTGGGATCGCATATGGCACACTACGCGATTCATTCGTGATTTGGCCGCGTTCGTTTTTGTTGACGGCGCGATTGATCGTTCAATATTAGGGATGGATAGTTGGTGAGTGTGTTGATTCAAAGAGTTAACTCTATTAGGTAAACTCAACGAATTGTATCAGTGTGTTATATAGTTCAGCAATTCGACGACTCAGTGTTAGTGTCAGTACTCCCCCGTCCACGAAAACTCCGTTTCAAAACTCAGTTGCCAGTGTGCTTTATCGTAGTTCATGGTTGCCACCACGGCGGTGTAAAAAGAACCGCACTACCTATCGATAATCTCGTTAGTTAGAAAGAGAAGTCACTCCGTCGGCAACCATGTGTTCCGTTTTTGTGCAAGAGATTTGGTCGTTTTGGTTTTATACTATAAAATTGTATTTAATAATTGCGAATTAACGGTTTCCGAGAATATAGTTACACCAATCCCCCGGGAAAAGCGTCCCGCGGTAATCGAATCTAATGAGGGGGGGGAGGGGTCCAACTGTCTGAGGTGGGATTACTCCGTCAGTGATTCGCAATGTCGCATATTATTAAACCTTTGCATTCGCACGACCCTTCACACAGTTTATGTGCTGCGTTACCGTTGTGAATGCTATGGCGTTTTGGTCACAATAATCAGATTATTTATTTGACGGAAAGACGCTTATTAAAATAAATAATAACTAATAAAACTGTAAAAAATGTACCGTTTATTTTTAGTAAATTAGATTTTACACTTTAAAAACGCTTACCGCGCAGCAGCATTACACATTACGCAGCACCGCACCGCTATGATGTGGGCGAACATCGATTCGACGATAGTGACGTAAAACAATTAGTGACGACATCGTCCGCGATAAAGTCACCGGGTTAACCTTAGCCGGTGGTACTGAATAATGGCGTTCGAGATGATCAAAATGAAGACGGAATGAACGATGCACGGCTACGTAACTGTCATTGTCAATGTAAAACAATTTTATCGCATACAAGCACGTTGTTCATCACTCCACTGTACCGTGTTTACAGAAAATCTATTTTTAAAATCGGCCGTTTCGGTTGTACCCCGCCCTGTAGATTCGGCCAAACGACCGCCGGTTTGTAATTCACGGTAACATACGGCGGTGGCACGAGTGACGGCCGCGGGGTGACAGTGAGAACGGGCGCGGATAGGGTGCGTCACCCGCCGTAGGCCACCCGTTGAAACGGGAAAAACCCCAGTCGCAATTCCGCGTACGCCGGTCGGCCGCCTCGTCTGCAAAACCCCGGCCGCCGACGGAAAAACAAAAAATAAAACATTTATCGCGGGCTAGCGGCGACTACGCAGTACAAAATATTTATCGTATAGGTACCGCGAGAAAATTAACATGTCTACTGCACACAGAATCAAATCCGTCGCCCGGTACGTCTAAACAAACAAATGGATTTAAACAAAAGTTGCAATCATCTTATATTATACCATGACTAACGGAATCGAACCGAAATTCAATGATCAAACAAGAAACGCACTACCCCGATGAGACATTATGAGAACTCGGATATCCTTTCGTTAAGGATAACCAATTAACAACACATTTGCACGCACAACAACGGGTGAAATACAGAAATAGAACGGGAGTTTTATTTCGTGTGCAGTGCGCGTACAACGACGTCCACGCATATATAACGCGTAGAGAACGTAAAACATCTCCCCGCGGTGATGGTTCGACTAGTTTGATATTACGAATAACCACAATAATATACACTTCGGGTACTCACCGAAAACGTATTAACCCGACGCCGCCGTCGTCGCCTCCGCTGATTCTTGACGAACGATTATCACGACACCCGAGTTTATAATCTACACGTAGTCGGCGCGTTTACCGTGAACGAAAAGTCATAAAGCGAACAGGGTTGAACTTTTTCACATTCACGCGACGTTATAGTATTATAATACATGCACACGAACGATACGCAACGGTGACTTTGCGACCGGTCGACCGCGTCCCGTCGAAAACCATTACTGCCGAAAGCGATGCGAGTGTGGCGAGGGGATATGAGGTCCGCCGACGTTTCGAGATTCATCGATGGATTCATGGCAGAAAAACGGAAACAACGATGCGGCGCGGGCCCGCGGGCCAAACGACGTACGATTGTACAGATCGGGCCCGTCGCGAGCCAATGGCGCGGACCCGACACTCGCGGATTCGGCATACCCGTCGGCCACTTGTAAAGCACCCGGGAGAAAAATCCTGTCAAGACCCGTAATAGTTTACACTGATCACGGGCCGGTCGGGGTCAACGACCACGCGGTACACTAACGGTCTCGTTTTCTGTTGCCTACAAAATGGCGGACCGAGGTTACTGTTTTTACCTAATATAGGTTTAATAATACGCAAATACATCTTAATGTTAAGACTACCAGCACAAAAAGTATAACATAATTTTATAATTCGAGTATATAATTATATATATATGTGTGTGTGTGTGTGTGTGTGTGTGTGTGTGTGTGTATAATATTATAGTATAATACGTGTTATATATATAATTCAAGTTTTAGCAATTTTTAACTGTGGTATTTCATATACTCTTTATCTCGCTTAAAAATATAATTATTGAAAAACCTGACGACGTAGATTTAAAGGTACAGATAATATAAATAAGTGACGATTTCCCAAATATTCTTCAATTTTGTAAAATTTACAAATAATTTCTACATTTCGATGGCTGCCATAACGATATACTAGAATTTGTTGGAATATTTTTTTTTTTAATTTTTAATTATTTTTGTCATAAGTTACAACCAAAAATCTTAAAATACACTTTTGAACGTTTTTCAGAAATAAGATGTTCATTTGAAAAAAGAAATTAAATTTCTGTTTCAACCATATCCTAGTAAATGACTTGAATAAATCATAATCCGTTTTCGTATTATAAATCCGTCGAACAGAATATCCTACAGTTTTGTCTGGCTTTTGGGTCTAAATCGACTAAAAAATAAGTACACCATTATCAATTTCCATTAAGTCTGATAATATAATAGCTCAATATTTACTGTGATAATAAAACTAACGGCGCGTAATTTGCCCTGACGAACGAAAATTCGCTGTCGTTTGTAAAGCGAAGATAACGGAAATAATACTGATTCTTGATATAAAACGCTAACTGGGAAATAATTTACCGTTTGGACTCAATTATCATTTGTAATTTCATAAAATATGAATACACGAGAGATAGACGCGCGTAAGTAAAGATACATAAGAGAAAATAACAACAAGACGTATACACAAGGTACAGAACGATATTATAGTTTTAAGGGATATAGTTTGGACACATGCGAATGACTGCGTCGCATATTATTTTGCGTCCCTAATTATTAAGAGCATTAAATTCCGAGCCATATATAATATATACAGCATACATAGGATTATTATAATATAATATTTACCGATCTGCTCGGAAACATTTTAGATTCGGAGCGTAGCGAAGAATGTATTGGTTTGACAATGATATTTTTTTTTTTTTTTTATATATAAAATATATACTGTGAGCCACTTTTCTACCAGAAATCTCGCTCTAATATATAAAGTGTATCACATTTTATGAAAGGAAATTTTATCTATAATTGGTACTTTAGAGAGGTCATTATTTGATTTCCCATGCGGATTTCATAATAATTGGGAAAAAACTTAGGAAAACAGGAAAATTTACATGCACATATAAAAGAAACATCGCTCCAAATCGTTATTCGTTAGAAATGGTTTATTGTTGCGTACAGACATAAATTAAATTCCCCTCTAAATCTTACCTTCCTAACATCTCATCTACAACATTGGCTCATCCGTCGTGCGAAGTACGTCCGTCATTCTGTAATATATCTTCATAATTTCCGCATTCAAACGTATTTCATTAAATATTATCACAGGAGAATTTAGCGAGACGAGTGCCCCAGACTCTAAGATCTCTACATCACTATGTTCGTTTTTTTTGTGAAATCGACGTGCTGACCTTTTTTTTCCTTTTGCAAAGCCTCAATACTTAATATTTTTTTTTTTTGTTTTTTGTTTCTTAAAATAAAACAATGATAAGTATATATAACATCTGGAGATATTGTAATAAGTTTTATAGTCACCTAAGTAGATTTCTTTGTTGATGCGGGTAATTTGTCTTGTTTCAAATCAAAGAAATTTACGATTTTATAAGTGCCTATATAAAATCGGTATACATCGTTACAAATATTTCACATTTTATAGTTATTTAAACAATGTAAATCTATTGCTAAAACAGAATTTATTAGTTATTAGGGTAATTAGTTGCAGTTATAATGATAATATTTACAGTGAACAGAAATCATTAATTTAATAAATATTTTCTTAATTTTATAATTTTACATAAAATTATTATTTATGTAGTGACTCGATTATCTATAGAATTGAGTCAATATCTTATCGAGCAACAAAACAAATTTTTTTTTAAGAATAAATATAAGTACCTTATAACTACATGTTTGATAAGTACCTAACAAAAACCGTTTCCTGCGTTTTTCTGAACTATCAAGAGTAATAATATGAAAATTAAAAAAAAAAAAACAATATAATCGACAAATTTTGACAAAATCTCCACTCAAGTTGTCAATTAGTGGACGATTTCTGGTAGAAAAGTTGTTAGCATACAGAAAAATAAAAATCAAATTTCACGCATCACAATAAACCAACAATTCATTTCTATGGTTTCGCTCAAAATCTAAAAATTATTTTTAATTATTATTTATCTAAATAAATAATGTTATTTTAAATGACATAGATTCTTAGAAACATTATTGCTTTTTGCGGGAAAGACAATTAAGAAAATGTGTATTTGTCTATAAAATCAATAATATAATTGAGCGCTTTATAAACATTATAATATAATACATATACAACAAATAAATTAACTTTTGAACGTAGATAAATTGATACATTTTCTCATTATGAATTTTAGACTTAGAGGGCACGCGTCATGACAACAAGAAGCGATTGTTGAAAACAACAAGATTTACATAATTATAATAGGTCTTCCGTGGTTGAAAATAATTAATATTTTAATTAAAAACAAAATTCTAAATAAACGTAGATGATAATAAATAATAATATCACATTTATAATACTTAAGTTTTGTTTTATTAACTAAATTATTAAATCAGTAGATGGGCCCCGATGGGCAAAATGTTTTAATAAAAATAAGACAATTTAATTAGGTAGGTGTGTGTAATAATAGTATTATATTTTTAAATATTGATATTGTGGTCAAAATAAAATGTTGAAACGTTATTTTATACTTTTGTCAAGATATTTCAAAATGAGTATCAACAGATACTTTATGCCGGATACGTTTAATGCGATACTTAAGCATTAGAAGACACTCAATGATTTTCAGACCTGTACTGTTAAACAAGATACCTACAATAATTGTCTCTAAGATACCTATTTGAGGTATACTTATATCAAATATACTGCCCAACGTTGTTTGTACCAACATACACTTTTGCGTAAAAACAAATGGCTCGTCGATGATTTATTTTTTTCTCGTTCACTCGAAGAATAAAAGGAAAAACTATAAATCTTTTATAGACATTTAATAAAAATAGCCGTTAAAATGAAGATTGCAAATTTGAAATTCAATTATTTTCGTTTTATGTTTATATCGCCGTTTGGTTTCTGTTATTGTTATTATATGCTTAAGTGTATGTATTAAATAGTCGGCTACCCAGCAAAAACTCGTTAGTTGATTTTTGTAATGTTTCTGTAAACAACTTTTCTACCAGAAAAATTGATCCAATCAAATAATTTATAGGAACTTTCTTACAGCATTTTTTATCTAGTTGGTTCATTGATGGTGAATTTTTAATGTTCCTTGTAATTTTCTATAGTTTTTTCCGCAATTTTATAAATGTGTTAAAAATGTGTTTTCACTAGGTAGACGATAAAATAATTGGAACGAATAACCAGTGAAGTGTACGTATATTGCGAACTAATGATTATAAGTCTTTTTTTTTTTTTTTTTTTATCATATAGTAAACATTAAGGTGGTAAATAGGTAAAGTAAAATAAAATTAATATTTCAATAGTCGTTTCAATGTTCATCAGGGTATAGTCATAAAATGTATTAACTTTAAAAAAATCGTATAAAAAAAAGTATGTAACTAAACAACAGCAGTGTTTCAATACTATAAAGGATATACAGGAATACATGTAGACAAATGAGAAAATGTATGGTAATAAGGGTTTTATTATTTTCAATGTTGTTTTTTTTTTTTTTTTTTATTGATTAACCGCAAATATTTGAAATATTTACAGAGTACTTATATCAGCATTTTCTAAACGTGGTAAAACGTTCAAAATATGCAGGCGTGATTTTTGAGCTTTTTGTAAGCATTTGAAATTTTCTAGTTTTATTTTAACTTTTTATTTGGTTTTATGTTGGTACAATTATTTTGACCGTGCAGAAATGCTTAAAAATAAAACAAGCACTACATGATTGTAATTAGTGATCAAAAAGAAAAGTTGAGCGCAATTAATAATTTTTTGAGCATTTGAAGTTGAAATTTGTTTAATTAATTTTATATGATTAAATTACAGATTTGATAAGTGACTTTAAAATATTCATAACAATATTTTAAAACGAGCATTATATGTGATTCAAGTAACTGTTTTGTTCAAGAGAAGTAATCCGATGAAATCTAATTAAATTTTATAAACATTTTTCGTTTCTTTTAAAGTTCTGTAAGTTAAAATATACTCGTAAAATACTCGGTGTCCAAATATTGGAGTAGGTTATCAAAGTAAATTTTGACATTTTCAATGTAATAGTTTGATTCTACTTAACGGGAAAAATTGATGAGAGACGACCTAGAAATCACTTTAGATAAAGGAGAACGGATATGCTGAAGACTAAACTTAAATAATGTGGACAAGAAATGAGGATCTCTAGAAGAAAATGAGAACAAGGAAAGATGACGTGAAATAGTAGAAATAGTGAAGGATCTAAACCGACTGTAAAAAAAGAAGAATTTGCTACTACTAAAAATTAGAAAAGTTTAGTTAGACAAGTTACAGTTGTTATTATACTACTTATTTGTTATGCGCTCTCTAGGTCCAATATTGCTGAAAAAACGCTCATTTGAGTTAGTTAATCATGTATTGACATTTCATATTCTTAAAAACAAAAAACCATATCGAAAAACAACACGCGTAGTTCGTTATATAAAAACGTGGATATACTTGAACGGATTTTCGTACATGCACGTAAGTACGATTTCCCCTGCCCCCCCGGTCAATGACTTTAAAACTGTTACCAATATTAACATAATAATATTTTGTCTTGGTGATCGGTGTCAAAATAAAACAAAACGAGCCGACAAATATCGACAAAATATCTTAAAGCGTTCCGCCGACACAGTGAATGTGTGTATTATTATTATTTCGTTTTTGTCACGAGATCTCTCATGAGATACTCTCGAGATTTATTTTTCATTGGTCGTTGTCTAATTAACGATCTGTATCTAATTACAAACAATAAGCTCGTACGACCTTCTTGGCTTTTTTAGTTACCGCTTTTGTAAATGATATTCCACAGAAACGGAAATTACTTTTTTTTTCCTTATAAAACTATAAAGTTTTTAATATTAATATCGAATAAGGAATAGCATAAACTAATAATAATAATTTATTATTAATTATATGTGTACTTAAATTTATAATAGTATTGATTATATATATATATAATATTTTATGTTTATTCAATGGTAAATGGTATAGCATAAAAATTCAAACGTTGCAACGAGCTATTCTATCCACGTTTATTGAACAAAATTCAAAACTAAATCATAAAACAAGGATACATTATAAGTTTATCAAATTTAGTCTAAATTACAAGGTTTTTATGAACATTATAAAATGAAAAATTAACATCAATGTTTTAATATTATATTTTATCGTTTTAAAACTATTCGACGCTATCTATATTTTCATGATAATTGATATCAAAAAGTCAATTAAATTACGCAGGTGAATAATTTATTAAGCATATGACTTATCAAATAACAAACTTGCACTATTTACGAATAAAATAAAAATAAGTGGCTATAGCAGGGATACTGGCCATAAATGGTGACTCCACCCTATACAACTAAAATATAACAAAAACGAAATTGAGAGTAACTACAATTATTTCACGTTTTTCTCCGTTATATAACCGAAAATTAAACCTTATTTAACCAAGTGCAGCAATACACTGAAAAAACGAAATTTTTAATCTGTAGAAACTATTTTTAAAGTCAACGAGCAAAATGTTTGAGATAAAATTTGATAGCAGACAAAAAAAAAAACAAATTATAGTAAAACTAATAGGTATACAACTTCGTTCAAAATCTAAAATGCATTTAATACATCAAATTCCCCATTATATAGATTATTTATTATTATATAGATTGGAGGATAATTGTATACGACGTAAAGAGAGTGAAAAATACTCGTCAAAATGACATGTCATGAACCACCTAACGGATGACACAGGACTATCGCGGACGTCAAGAGTGAATGGGGTTTTGCGGTGGACGTGAACGTGCACTGCGCAGTGTCAGTGTATACACTTACACTAATGACATATGACAGAGTAGTTTTGTGCAAACTTTTGGGATAAACCGAGTAAAATACTATTACGTACGACGGCGCCGCACAGTGATCTGATGTGAATATTTTTGGTGTTGGCACATAGAATTTCTAATATTCCTATAATTTCAGTTCAAAAATATGCAATAAAAATCAATCCTATTATTTTTGGATACGACTAGTCAAAATTTGTAATGAATTTTGAAATCAGCTGTTTTATAAAGAGCTATTTTTAAGAGTATTTTCTCAAATGCTCACAAAACTTGTTTTGAATTTTATTAATGTATAATATGTTTGAACGAGTAATCAACCCAAATTTGTTTTTTTATCACGGTAATTAACCCAAACTATTTCTCAGTTATTTTAAGGGATAATAGCCTCTCTCATAAATACACCCCTGAAAACAGAGAAAATAACATACGTGATATAATCACATATTATGTATAATAAGTACATAGTTGATTCACAATTATTTATAGTAAAACAACAATAATTCAGAGGTATATTGTAAGCCCGAAAGCAGGTAAAGACAAATTAAAACTATCACAAATATAGTTATGTAACAAAAATTGTAGTTTATAAAAAATATGTATCACGTCAGTAAGTATATGTTAATATTTTTTTGATAGCTTTTTATAAATTAAGCAAATGTTTTAAAATTTAATACATCATATTACAAATTTTCATTTTTTAAATAAAATATTTAAATATCGAATTGAAATTTGTTCAATATGACTTAGTCAGCGCATCTCATTGTATATAAAAATATAATCGATGATTTTATATAATTGAACCTGTGTGCGTTGCATGCACGGGTTTAAAGTTAAAGTAATTGAAACGTGTGCGATTAAAAAACATTATGTAGTCGAATTCAATAAATATTATTAACTATAAGACTGTAGACATTATGATATAATATACGAGTTATTTCCAAACCAATCAACTAATAGGTGAGTACCTATGTAATGATAATATTATCATGACACGAAGATACCATTTTTTCATACACGATAAATTACGTTTTACATAAGGTAAATTTACATTTCAGGCCTCTATGCGACGGCACCCGGTATGAAATTTCAATTTTATAAAAGTATACAGGTAACCGGTAATGCGTTTTGTAATTCGAGTTTATATTATTATTATTATTGTTATTATAGTAAATAGAAATTTATTCACTTCCGTTTTTCACGCGTGGTTTTGAACGCGGTTCACGCTGCCGTTCATCAATATTAATCAATATTATAATATTACACTATACAGGGTGAACAATAAAAATTGATTTTTTTCTGACGTCTTTCCGGTGAGCTGTACGCATTATATTATAAATAATACGAACTACCAGCATACAAGTATACCGGAAATAATTGCGTTTTGCGTCAGACGACGACGACGGGTATATTATAGACAGGTTATATTTTCGCAAAAAACGATCCGAGTCAGGCACATACGCAGAGGAGTGTTCAAACACCACACCCCCCTCCTAAATGTTTGGTTTTTTGTATGGTTATTTACTTATTCCATTTTAATGTTATATAATTATGCACTATTTTCAATAACTGATCATCAAAAACACCTTCCCAATACTTTTTTCTACGTACATCCCTAATCCGCATCGAATCATGCGGACAAAGCAAACGATACGTCATTTTATCAATTATTATAATTATATACATTACTATGATACTTTAACTGTTATTATATTTTCCAGACACAAGTTTCAAAACACTACGCGTAAAATTATATATTCAAGGCACTCCAAAACGAGCAAGTATATAGATAATTGATATTAAATATACTTATGTGTAACAACACACTTATATTTTAAGCATTTAAATACGACAGATATTCAATATGTTAAAATTAAAATATTAAACAAATTTGTCAGTCATGTATTCTGATATATCGAAAAAATGCGGTGGTTATTACATTTTTCGAAATTCCTGACAATTTCCCCAATTACCGTAGATTCTTTTTGAAATTTAAAATTTTTTTTTTTTTCGAAAAACCGGGAGGGAAATGACCCTTCAGACAATAAACAAGATACTTAAAAATGACCACCTGTCTAGATACTCATTGATTTCAATACCTTGTTATTCGTCACTTAACTATTTCAATATTTTGTTTAATTTTGAAACGCATACTATTGCCATTGATCGTTTTACATTTTTACTCTCTAATATAGTAACAATCTTCGATTATTTTTTAATTTGTATAATATATAATGTATGCAACGATTGAGAAAAACGTTTCTGAACGGAATTCTATTAAACAGTTTTGTTGTTTAAACTAAGAATTGCAGTACTTGCTCCTATATCAAATAAATTTCAATCGTTTGGTTTGTGTTTTTAACGAATTTTAACATAAATTCGAGCCTTAAAAGTCCAATAAAAATAAATATAAACCGGTGTCCCGTAAATATTGTCATGAGTTTTTTCCTTAATTTTTTAAAAAAAAAAAATCGTTAAATGACTTTCCTAATCTATACTGTCCGGACGAAATTCGATACCTAGTAGCAACCACAATACACCTACCATGTTAATGAACAGAGCGTAATTTTCAATCAAAAACATTTATACCATCGATTATACGAACTGCAACAATTGCGTTTCTCAGATTTTGTTCTTTTACAGGAGTTTTACAATACTTATCTCAACTCTGTTGACTGTTGTTATTATTAACTAAAATACGTGATATCGGTTCGAGGGTTTGATATTCGGTGATAAGATGATAGTTTCCACGTTTATCAGTGTAACCACGAGTCAAACGAAAAAAACAAGGTGTCCTAGAATAATATAGATGGATGCAGCCATTGTTATAGGTAATTTAATGTATATCTGTAAGCAACGATTAACCGTCGCTAAAGAAAAAACGATCCCGAATGGAGTTTGGTTTATAGTGTTGCTTTTAAATAATATATATACATATCATTATATTAAGGTATAATAATTAAATATGCATTATGTATTTTCTTAAATAATATTTGTTTAATATTTTACCCAATTACCCGGTTTTCCTACGTTTTTCCTGGTTTTTCCCATTTTTCAGAAAACTCCTGAGAAAATCAAAAAATGACCTGATTAAAGTACTCGCTTAGTCAGATTTTCTTTCAGAAAAAGCGTTATCGTTAAAAATCGGAGCAAAATTGGCGGTAGAAAAGTCATTCACAGAAAAATAAATAATTAAATAAATAAACACCATTGTAAAACCTCGCTCTGCTCAGAATCTAAAACACGCATAAAACGAAACATATTTTTGGACACGCTTGTTCAATTATTAATATCGATAATAATTGCGTTTTATCGAATTTCGCGTTACGCATTTACGCGACAATATAATAAAAATACGTATCACCGTTTAAAGATCCCGAAAAATTGAATTGTATTGAAAAAAAAAACACACTTGTTTGTGTACAGTGAAACGGGAATTTATCTCTCAGTTCTCAATTACGAAAATTTAAATGATTAAAACACGAAACCATATATTATATACATGTGTATAAACGTCGTAAATATATTAATTAAAACGGTATTATATACGTTCACGGAATCCCTCATGCGGGGGGTGGAGGACTGCCGCAGAGGTCGAATATCGCAGATTGGGATCGGTCTTGATGTGTTATTTTATTATCGCGTCGTGACAAAGAAAACCGCCGCCGCCGCACACGCCGCCCACCGCGAAACGTTTTCTGTTTTACCGCGAGACCCGACCCACGGGCGGCTTAATTGGAATACTTCTACCCGCGGCGGCGGCGGCGGCGACGGTCGAGCAGCGCAATTCCCAAGGCGATTCCTATCCGTCGACCGCCCGGACTCTCGTGACGTGGAAATCCGTCCGCGGTCCGCAGAGTGGCATATTATTTCTCCGTTTGAAAACGGCCGTCCCGAGACGGAACGGCCGACGGACGGAAGTGCAGCGGCGGCGGACCGTTCGCATAGCGACGGCGTTACTGCCGCGCGCTACCATTTTTTCTCTTTTTTATATTTTTGTAGTGGCGCGGACGGACGGCAGGCGAACGTCCGCCGGGCCGTTTCCCGTTTCCCGAGCCCGGTGTGCCGGCGGTTAAAAGAATAATAACATAACTAGTGTCAAATGAGTAGATATAATCATTATTCTACTCATTGTGTTTACTGTTATACGTAGTTTTAGTAATTTGTAAATAAAGATATTTAATATAAAAAAAATATATAATAAAAATAACGGTTCGGCTCCGTTTAATATTTACTACCGAAAAACGGGTTCTAGACTGCAGGGTCGAAATAAACTCCGGTGCCGGCCGGTTCGACTTATCGGTAACTTATAAAGCGACAATTGTATAAATTACCATAAACAAATCCCGGAACGAGCGAGTGTGCTTTTTTTATCCTGTGGGGTTGTACGCCCGCGATATAATATATTGTGTTCAAATTGAGCGTGTTCAACGCAGGTTTCTTCGCTATGTTGGTTTTATACTAAAGATACCTCGTGCGCCTCATAACTGTACGCCAGTTGCTTCTCACCTTGGTTTAGCCTCCTTAGACGAGTGTCACCGTATCGCGGGTATCAAGTTCCTCGCGAATCTATTGAACAATAATATTGATTCGCCTACTCTTCTTTCTCTAACCTGTTTCAAAGTTCCTTTTCGTTCATCTTGTGGACGACTAGAAAATCCCGGAAAGTAATCGTACGGACTGTGAAATTCCGGAATGTAAATTTACAGACAAGAAAACGGCGGACTGTAAAAATTCGGAAAACATAAATGCCTAAACCAGAAAGTCCCGGACTATAATAATCCGGAATACAAAAACAATATTAACACTGATAATCATGACACCGGGTATGAGAACGTTTATCCATCTCATGAGCCTCTAACACGTTTAATGCCAACTGCCAATGTGGATTCTGCATTTAATGACTAATTGACCTAATTATGTGTAATTTATATACTATGACTTATAAGCTATTGTAATTTTATATTTTTATTAATTTATTTTTTATAATGACTTCTGTTATCTCAAATGTTTAATGTTGCATGTTCAAAAGAGCCCAGGTCTTATGATTAAAATACAATAAAATAAAATAAAATAGCTGATTTAAAAGTTGCCCGTAAGTGAAAATTCAGGTGGGGGCAGTTTTAAATTATATTAATAATCAAACACTATTTTACTAATGTATTCTATGTATTTTCAAAAATCGTGAAATCTATAATAATACATTAAATTTTACACTAATTATGGTGACTATAATTGAACACAAATTGCAATTTTATTTTATTTTTTCTCAATTCATCAACAACTTTTTCAGCTAAATGAAGTTTTTCGACTTTTTTCCCATGTGAAGTTAACGTATTATACATAATCCGGATAAAAAATTTTCACACATTAGATAACCATAAGTCAACTATTCACAAAAAAAAATCCACATATGATCGGCTATAGTGGCTACATGTAAACTCTTACAAAAATGACATAGTCCTACATAGTCCCTTTTTGCCTGACAAAAATAGATAGTGTAATCTCCTACACAGACCTTTTTACATTTTAGATTCTGAGTGTAGCGAGGAATATATATTGGTTTTAAAGTAATATTTATTTGAGATAATTGCACTTAAATGGAAAAAACGTACTATTTGACGATTTCATTATTTTAAATAAACACGCACGACGTTTTCTACCAGCAATAGTTCTCTAATGAAAAAATGATAAGAGACTTTTTTTTATTCTATTTTTAGATAAATATTTGTAGAGACTTATGAAATAAAATGCAAAATAAAATTTAGTAAACATATTAATATAAGGCTTCGTATCGGAAATTCTTGAACATTTCGATTATCACATTATTTACGTAAATTGGAAATACAACGATCTCTACCTCTTATTTGTTTAGTTTATGATTGATTTTTATTTACTTCAATTATTAGAAAAACAATCTAGTGTAAGATTTAACACTATGCCAATTTAGAAGATTACCTAATTTTGTAGTTTACTATCTCCCCTAGTGGTTGGTACTAACTACAAAACATAAATCATTGTGTATTATGATAACAAATTGGCGAAATTCTATTGTACGAAAGTTTTTACAAACTGACTAGGTGACAATCAAAGTATGTTGATGAAATATTAATAAATATCAATACACCTTGGTACTATTAATGAATTTTGGGATTTTTAGATATTGAATTTGGATATAATTATTTTAACTTTCAGGGAAGCTAAGAGGTGTTCTCTGCTTGCTCTTCCTTGATGGTGCCTATGGTTGATTCCTATTGTACAAGTTCTTATAATAATATATACCGCCGTTTTAACGTTTAAATTAATAATAACTTTATTAAATTATTTTTATAAGTAATATTAAAAACTACTTTCTCATTGTTTCCTGAACATTTTTATTGTTGGATATCCGGCATGCATTCTCGGTACAACTTAGCACGACACCGTAGTTATGTCATTGTCGGATGCTACCGGAAAACAGACTGTGAAATGCTATGAATTCGGATTATTTGTTACTTGCGTTAACTATACAATTTCACGACACTTATATATTTTGTAGTGACACGTGGTAAAATGCGCAGTGTTTGTTTTCGTGAAGTTTACGACACGGCGGCGTCGAGACTGTGATCCGATTGAAATTCGCGTTTTGTAAAACAAAAGTTTTATAAATTAGCGAGAAATAAATTTATTTTACTATGATTTGTTTTTTTTTCTGTGTGTTATAAAAACCTTTTCTATCACTACAATCAAAAAATGTTAACAGACATTTTTGTAACATTTCATATTTAACTAGTGCCTAAAGGCGATCATAACCACCTTAATTTATTTTGATTTTTCAAGCAGTTTTCATAATAATTGGGAAAAATCCAAAAATCAGGACAGAGTTAGTTTGGATTTCATTATTTTTATTTTTTTTTAAGTTTTGTTTTCTTTCAGAAATAATTTTCTTACTTCTAAGTTTAGTAAGGTTTTATATATTAAAACTAGCAGCACAAAAATGTATCTTACTAAACGCAAATTTGCTGTCGTACGTTTATAAAGCAGAGACAGTAAACGCGGATGTGGCGTCTTTTTTATAAAATGCCGATAAGAATGTTGCGAAAATTTCATCAAGTGTCCCGTGGAATGCAACAATTATTTTTTTTTTGTTTGCGACATTTACTTATTCAAGTGCTGTTCAAATAGCTGCGATCCGCTAATATTCGCCACCATCACAATCCGTGTGTTCCTAAATGCATCAGATTGATTAGTAGCTGGATGTTCCTTATTACAGCAAATAGCAAATCCACAGGAGTGATATTAATATTTAATAAAGTTAAATAATTTAATTCTATTAAATAATCTTTCTATTTATCGTGTGTTTTTTGTGCATTTAAATCTTTTAGAAATTAGAAGTATCTAAGTATACGAATATTTACAAAATGAAAATTCAATTTATTCATAGAGATTGTGTTTATATACATACTTTACATGTAAAGGGCGTACTGACTTAATTTTAAAAAATTAACACATACGTTGCTTAAATAAAAATAATGAATTGTAAAATTTATGTCAATAATTAATAAAACAATAATTATGGTTAAAAGTGTTAACTAACATGTTCAAGCGTATTAATAAAAAAGGCGTTCCTAAATTCCTATCATTCCGCTGAGCAATCTGCTATCTACATTAGTAGATGAATTTTGGAACTTTCGGAATATAACGACGACCGCGCGTGACGTAGTTGCGGAACATTTTCGTCAGAGGGAGCCACAATAGCGTAGCGGCAGATCCGTTACGCACAACGGCACAATATCGAAACCGGTCGGAGACCCGAACTTGTATTGCTAACTGGCTCGGAGCAGCGCCTTTGCACAACCTCTTTTTTTCTTGGTTTTCTTTATACTTTTAGGGCCGGTGTAACAATCATCAGTTTTGTTTCGATTACGATTTAATGTTCCGTAAAAAAAAACTGCCTGTATTAAAAAACTTCCGTGACGCTAAAAAGAGTCAATTACGTTTCGGTTTACTTATCGACCGATGTCGAATATGATTGCAGTTCGTTAAAGCTTTTGATTAGCAGCTGGGTTCGTGTGTTTACTTTTTTTTTTTTTTACTATTATCAATTTTTCAACGTTATGAATTTGAGCAAACTATTGTTGATTTTTTGTATTAACTGTTTTTACTATTTACAAAGTTATACATATATATTATTTGTTCACGGTCATGGATATTTTAGATTATATTAATTATTCAGATGATGAAGTCGTTAATAATGATGCTTATGAAAGCGATCCAGATGATAATTTATTTGTACTTGCTGAATTAGTAGCTTTCCCATGACGAACCAAAATTATTCGAGAACGACCAGATCATTTTCAAATTTGGAGAGATCATGGATTTTTACAACAATTTTACCTGTCTAAAAATACTGTAAAGTTAATTCTCGATGTCATAGGGACATATGTTATATTCTTAAAAAATTAAAATATTAATTTACAAAATCAAAACTCTCAAACAACTTCAAAACCTCAAAAACACAATTTCACAATACATATATATATATTATATAATGTCTGTTAATTATCAAATTTTTGGCTGACGTTTATCAAATTATACTGTAATCAGAACAATTTGTAGGTTATTCGTTGGTTACGTAAAAGTAATCTTACGGAGGATTGCAATATTATTATTAATTTAACGGCCCGTAAATGTTATAACAGAACAGACCGTCACGTAACCGCTGATTGTAATACCGGCTCTTAGTATAGGCCGGGAAAAACCTGGAAAAACGAAATCATGCAGTAGCTGTTCGGTTCTGATAAACGGTGGCAGTCGGATACTGACACCGAGTACCCCGCGGAGATTATTTTCCGAGAAATAGGCACCGAATATTCCAAACATTACTGTCATTCCTAACTAAATATTATATTTTCACAGAAATAGTATTCAAGATTATGTGATATTATTAGCAAAACGACAACTTACAAAATAATAATATTTTCCGGGAAGATCAAAAAAAGAGGGGTTTGGATGCGATTGAAAATGATATGAAGACAGCTGAAGTATGCGAGGTGGGAGATTAGGTCAAGTGAAATCTTTTATGTGACGGTAGCTGACGTCAAATATTTGGGATGAAAGCGAAGGAGAAGAAGACCAAATAATAATATTTAGTGTATTAAAAGTCATAACACTAATAAGATAGGTGGCTCGAAAAACCGTAACGGAGTAAATCCATTCGACGTAGGTCCCATCGGCCAAAGTTTATCGACCTTCAATCGCCAAAAAAAAATTTGTCCAAGAAATCTATTTTAAGATACCTAATTAGATATTCGTATTTAATATTACACGCACAACAACTCACAAATAATTTCTATACATAGTTATTCTTTCTCAGTTACGAACGTGACGATTTTCACTCGATACAATATGACTAATCCGTTTAAGCTTTATACATTATTATGTTAACACTCCTCTGTATCCAAATATTCGATGAAAAAATAACTGACCAGTTTCATACTTTTCAATGGATTTTGGTAAAGTTAACTGGCCGACTACTATCAATCTGACATTGGAACGAATGCATTTACACAATACGTTGCTTCGGCATAAACATTTTTTAAACTTTATATTGAAACATGATACATAATTATTGGTTTTGAAACATGTATTTATTTTATTTTCATCCATTATTTAAATATTAGATTAAATACAAATTTACATTAGTTTGGGGTAATGATGGAACACCGAACAATAATTTAATTATGTTGAAATGCTCGTACGTTCAACTAGTATAAATTTACCGTGATTTTCAAATGTAGACTTGTAATTTCACAGCGAATTCACTGTAGGACTACCCTCATCTGGATCGACGACCGCGGTATACTTTTCCGAGAAGTAAGGTAGATACTTATCTGTGATTAAATCTATTAACATGTTATCAGAAGCCGTTGTTTTTACGATTAATATGTAACATTATGGTTCTGAGAATGAACCGAAACGGCAAAATACCAAATATATTATAGGCAACATGAAAACCCGAAACTGAGTGAAATTTTTTTTTAGGCACCAGAGATTATTATATACGTTATGTAAAAACGAAAATTCCGAAATGTCGATTATAATGTATACGCTTTATACAAAGTAATAATTCTTTCGTAATGGATAGGATTTCTCGGTGAAATAATTAATTAATCCGTCGTGCTGGCGAAGGCGCTCATTACACAAATAGCGTTTCAAAGTGACCTCGATATCGAATTACTACCGATACTATTAATACCTACAATATTGAGAATACTAATACGAGCACTATGATTTTCCGGAGATCAGGTCAAGTGGAAGTTGGGCTTGTCGACGGTGGCTGACCCTAAGTAAGATTAAGGCGAAAGAGATGCTTATATTCTATTAATACCTACAAATTACACGTTTGACTATATTTTCAAATTGTTCATGTAGAGTGTAGACAGTCAAAAAGGACGCATTACAGTAAAACCAATACATTACTTGTTATGCTCAGATTATACATTTTGTCCAGCTGCGGTCATACTTACGCTGGATCCATAATATTATCAAATTTGTTTAATGTTTTCGAAAATAAGTGTGCAACGTATTTTTACGATTCTCGGCAAAATCTGAAGTTCAAAAGGGTATGAAAAAAAAAAAAAAAAACCTTTACCGGGGATTTATAATATTTGTATTTTGTATACTACCGCAAGAAAAACTTAGCGGAATTTTGTATAAAATTATCGAATATTTATAAGAAGCCAAACGAATTCCTTCCGCATAACACCAAAACAAGAACCGAGCAAACAAAGTTCTCTATCGGAAACCATCACCCGCGAAGGTGCCGATCGGAACAAATGTGATCAAAAACTAATAATTTTTCTCGATTGACAGTTCAAAAAAAAAATATTAAAATCGATGAATACTACGTTGCTCGGCGTCATTCGGCAAAAAAAAAAAAATAAAAATACCACGCGTCTAGATGAAACGTCGAGATCCCGCCAAAGTTCGGCCGCACAAAAACGCGTGGAGATATCGCGACAGACGGTTCGGCTTCCACTCGTTACATTATGCTATGAGGTATGTGTCGATGATATCGCGTGTGTACCCAAAAGATGACGGGATCTCCCGCGTAGGCGTACTGTTTACAATTTCCGCCGCAGATTTTACAATCGACAATCGCCGTCGTGTAACGCGGGACGCTATAACCCTGGCGACGTCTCCTTCGCGGTCTGCGACTGCGAAACATCGTCCGCCACGTGCCCGCGCTTACTCACTATCGCGCAGCGTTAATTCATTGTACGAATACACCGCGATCAAATTATATCACGTTGTAGTATTCCGATCCGCGGGCACATCACCGTTAGGTGGACGATTTGTCCGGTGTTCGAACAATAGCGCGGTGTACGTGAAAATAACGGTGATAGTTTTATTCGTCGGCCGAGTATCAATCCGATCGAGAGATCGGTATTTGTTCGGCGGTCTCAAACACAAATTACCAACGTGCCCTATATTTACGCGTCGGAGGTTCGCGGGCAAAACGCCATTTTGCTTATTTTTTTTTTTTTTTTTACTCATTGCACAATTTTAAAAAAAAAAAAAAATACGCCATTTTCGACCTATTTTACGTTTAAGACCTGATATTTTAATGAACGAATAACGCACACAGATTACACTCACCCGTACTTACACCAAATACGATTGACCAACAATAAAATTGTACTTTTTCTAAAAGCAAATCTGACTGGGATAGTACTTTAGGTGGTAATTTTCCCAGGAGTTTTTCCAATAAAGACAAAAAACATGGGAAAACCCGGAAAAATTATTACAATATTAAACAAATATTAAAAAAAATATATTATAATGCATATACCCATGTAATTAATTTAAAATAATGTGACATATATTTTATTGACAAAAAGATTATACAAATATACATTAAATTTCCCTTCTACGTTCCTAACATCTCACCTAAAACAGTGTCCCACTCAAGTGCGAAGTATGTAAGTACTTAATTTTTTTTTTTTTTGGGGGAGGTAGGGGGGCAAAACTGTTTTCAACAATGGAAATTTTATTGGAATATATTTCACTGCAGTGCAAAAAAAAAGCATACTAACATATTATATTACATTGTTTAGATATGATATGGGGGGGGTATCAACTGTCCCTTTTGATTACCTCACCCTGTAATATCACTATCGCATGAAAACCTTCACGAGATCATATTGATTGTATTTTTCCCGATGTTTAATAACGAAGTGAAACTTATTTTTAACGAATACGTCGATATGTTAATATTACTAATATGTCTTATTGTCTAAGTAGGTACCTATTATACTATTCCGAAACAAAAAACCGCGAAAATGTATTTTTCGTAATCATTATTTCGATTTATGATCAATTCATGTGAATTTGTATCGCATATCAATTAATTTAATTAAAATTGAAATTATACTGGAACATATCAAAGGACAGAGAAATGGAAAGATTTAGTTGCAGCAGCTAAAAGCCTTAAATGGATTGTAAAGCTTAAAAAAAAAAAAATTGAAATTATACAACCATACTTTAGGTCTTATTGAAATGACAGTGAAATTAATTTTCCTAACAATCAACTTAATACTAATTAAATGGATATCGATCACCGATTATTAAGAAACTAATTAATTTCCAGCGGATCCGATAGATTTTTAACCCATTTACAAATAATTGGTGTTTATGATTTAGAACAGACAGTTTTTTTTGTTTTCTGAGTGTCAACCTATTGTTTTTTAAACACTTCCATACATCGAATAAAAATTATTATTGATAGTAGGTATTGATAGTAGCAATCAAAATAATTATTGTTTTCTGCAAAATACGTTTTAATCAAAGCAAGGCTATATTATGGTAAAATGTATAGGGGAGAAATCATAAATATGAAACGCCTCATTAAGAAGTATATACCATTTTTTTTCAAATAAATAACCCAACATTATTTTTTTCGCTTTGCCCGAAAGTTCAAAATATATTGAATATTCTCTCATTCTTGCCACTAGGAGCAACTGCTCTTTTTGTTCCCCCTTCCTAATATGCCCCTGAATCCGATTCAATGTTAAGAAAAATTTATTTATTTTTCAACCTAACAATAATAAATACCAATTAATAAGTGACGGTGCTGGACCATGATTCGATGAATGATTTTTTTTCAATTTTTTCAATTTTTTTTTCAAAAACTTCTTGACTCAAACACATTCAAACTCATAATGCAAATAAAGTAAATTGAATAAAAAATGTTTAACTTTCGTCTAGAAATAATAATTTATTTTACACGAATACAATTATTTTATTAAAAGGCAGGAGTATTTCGTTTTTCTAAACGAGATAACGTCCAACCATCACGTCTTTCTAATCCCAACTGTATTTTTGTTATTTAAAAAGTTGAAATTTATTGTTGTATTCAACAAAAATCAGATTGAATACATACATAACAGATTAACAGCAACATATCAGGTATAAATTCACAGCTACAGTGTTTTTACTCGAGGATTAGTTTTTTTTTTTTACCGTAATAATGTATATTTCTGAAATTTTTCTCGTAATTAACTTTAATTTGATAACTTTAGAAAAATTATGCATATGGCATCATAATTTATTAATATTGCATCCAGTGTCTGTCACTTTCTTTAAATTTGTTTTATAATATAATTTAACCTATAATTATACTTGCAAGATCTTTACGAACTCATAGACTTTTTGTATATGTTGAAATCGCCCCAATAGTTTGGGATGTAAAAAACACAATGTACTCTCACACACACATATACACAAAACTACATACATAAAGGCTAGGGACAAGTAAAATTAGTATTCCCCGCAGTCATGCCCGTCCACAGTGTATGGGAGCCAAAATAAAATCCCATAATGTACGTTGGTTACCTTATCGCCAGCGGGAATTTTAATTAGCCCAAGCGAAAAATCGGCTACCGATCAATCTATACCAACTATTAATTATTAACAGTGGTTATAATTTTATATGCCTATAATTATTATTATATTGATAAATTAAACTCGGTTAGAACGCGTCTCCACGACCCCCTCTTTTCCTTAAACTAAAACGACGGATTACGAAAATAATAGCATAATAATCAGGTAGGCATCCGCCGAGTGAATCCCCGTACCTAAGGTTGGGTTAGGTCAGGTCAATACGCATCGGCCAAAGTTCATCGATCTCTGTATCATTGAAGACGTATTTTTCGATAACTATATTTTTAAACGTCCAATAAAATATTCGCAAGGCGTGTTCTTACGTCCCGTCGCTTCAGTATTGAATCGTGAATTAACAAATCATCTGGGCGAGTGTCTGAAAAACGATTCACGTGACTTCTTATCGTTTCATGCGGAGACTGGAGTCCGGTAGTTGGCCGGTAGTAAGTGGTCACCACTGACGGGCTCGAGGGGTCAACGTCGGGCGTATTCACGTTTCGGATACCTTACTAGTATAAATTAGATTTATTTGGTGGCATCTACTTTTCGGAAAAGTGTCAGGTGGTCATTGATGTCGACGAGGGGCCCGTGTCGGGTTTACTCCGTGTCAGTATATCCAGCCATATTGTATTTTTCTCGCATTACCCAACTGATATTATTTGAAATTATATAATTTTTATGTGTACGCTGTATACACTTATTCGGTTTATTGCGGTAGTTATTATGACTATGATATTATAATTATTATTAAATAGAGTAGTTAATCGATTACTCGACTTGACTCGACAACTTATTTCTTTCAATAGTGCTACATTCGACTACTTGACTTAAAAATAATAATAATGGACTCGAATAGATTTGATTAGACTTCGCTGGAATAAAAAAAAACCAAATTTAATATTAGGTATTATACTATTAGGCTATTTGTTCCCATTTTAATTTTAATATTCGCTGGTGAAAAATATATCAATATTTTAATATACCAATAATATATAATACGTAATTATTTTACCATTAGCTATTTTAGAATCAATGTTTTTTTTTTTATGTTGTCATGAAATTCGTTCAAAAACGTGTTCGCGTAAAACAAGTAGAACTACCTCTACTTTTAAATATGATTAAGAACTTTTTACTTATTTTAAAACTAAACACAACAGTATTATGCATAGTGAAACGTGATGATTCGCAAATGTCTTGTGTGAGATAGTGGTAGATATTCAAGATTAAAAACTGATGGCTTTTTTATAATGGGAAATTTTTTTTATAAATTTATATTTAACTAAATATATATATATATATAATACGCCATTCTCTAGAAAAAAAAATTCTTTAGTTTTTATCATAGGCTGTTTCGCGGTAAATCTACAGATAAAACGATTTTTCGATACGAAGTTTTGACGTTCAAAAACGCTTACGCTGACACCCTCTTAAACGCAACCAAAAAATAATAATATACCAAAATCCTATTATTTTTTACTATAACAAAAAAAACCTGTCTAATATTACGGTTATTGCGGGACATCATCATTAGAGCCGTTAATATTTAAATTTATGAAGTATAATAATCAGTGAATTTTGTCATCGTTTTATTATTATAGGTACACAAACGAAGCAAACAGTTGATTTAGTATATTTATCCCGAGGGATTTTTTTTATTGTTCCGTTTTTTTTTTCACATATTACATACTGACGTGGCACTTAACCATCAGGGGAGACATTGAAATACGAGAGAACACAATACTATAAACTTGAAAAAAAAATAGGTACACAATTGAAAACGGAAAAATAAATATTTCGAATAAAAACACGATAGTAGGTATTATGTACCTATAATATCTCCGTACGGAATATTATTTTTCTCGATGTGTTATAAAACGTTTAAAACCATACGAAAACGTATTGTTCGTATGCAATAGAAAACTAACTACAAAAAAAAAAAAAATAAATAAAAATGACGTGTACGTTATTATATATAAATGGGTATATACTATGTCAGTTGAGTAGATTAAAACAATACTTATTACGATGATTATATAATATAGATCATCAAAAATCAAAGTAAAACTATTATTGGTTGGCATAATTTTTTTATGAAATTTTTTTTTATCTTTCTTTAAAATAATATGTTACTCAAGTGGAAGTGGTGAAGGATTGTATAGTAAAATGTGGATTGATATACTAAAAATTGATGAAAAATTAATAAATTTAAAGGGAAAAGATCAGGTTTGTGTTGGGAAAAACAATCAGTACTTGAATATTGACCGACTTTTACGCAACCTTTTTAACCTTTTAGTTGAAAAAAGTAAACTACTCATATTTGTACACCAATTTACTCATGTGAATTCAGTTTTTAAAAGGAAATCTAATTTAATTCACTTTAGCTAATTTCTTAATTATATTCTACATGTTAAATATAAATAAAGTAAATATTAAGAATAAAATCATAAATATAGTATACATATATATTTATAATCTATATATATAAACACATGATTTTTTTATATTTAAATTCAAATACTGCTATAAGTATTAAAAAAAATATGATGGAAATTATGATCGAACATAAAAAAATTACCTGTTGTCTTTTCAAGAGTTGATAGCCAAAACTGTTGATATCTAAAACAGATTAAAAATAGAACAAATATGAATACTTATTATTAAGATTTCTAAATATTCTCAAATAAATAATATAATAAATTATGTAGGTAGTTCGGTAATATTTCGTATACTAACAATAATCAATATTAAGTTTATATTATGTAAGTAAAATGGAGCCGATTTGACGCTATATAACTTTTTCAACCATGTAAGGACGAAATTAAAATTTGAATTATTATTAAATTATAATATGGTACCAATTATAGGTATTATATAAATATTAAATACAGTTTTTAGTTTTTGAGAAAAAGATGAGCTTGCTGATAATTGTGCCGTATGGTTTTACAGGTGAAAGTTAATTTAAAGTATCTACTGTAATTTTTAATATAGTTACATAAAAATAAAAAATGAAATCGAATATAATAAAACCGTATTCTTCGAAAAAACTTCCCAGGTTATTCGCAGTCATTAAGAAAACTTGAAATAAAACTAAAAAATGACTTCCTAAATGTATCGATTAAATCTGAAATGCTATAAAAAAGAATTCTTTTATAGCATTTTATGATTAGCCAAAGATTTACAAGCTGTTCACGTGTAGACAGAAAAATACCATTCCTCGCCACACTGGGAATCTAAACATTTTAAATGGACAAGTAGTGAGGAGGAACTGGAAATCTCACATTTTTTATTTTTAACAATTTTCAGTAGAACTTAATGTTTCCTTATCGCGAAATGGATTTTTTTAATCCAGTCCGACACTAAAAGATGTATAAAGAGATATTATTTTACAAATAATATAATACAGTAAAATTTAGATGAAATAATTGCAATATTATATAATTTTACCGTTTAAAATGTCGTCATTATGAATTATTATTATTAAGATAAATCTAGGTGGAATAGCTATAGTATTATATTATATATATATATATATATATATATATGAAACTGTTAAGAAGACTATATAATATAGACCCTGAAGCTTCCCTTCCCGTCCAGAATGTTACGCCCGTGTTGAAAAATATAAATGTGACGCTATACTGTTTTTATATTAAAAACGAAAATACATATTTCTCATTTATGATTTTTCAAATATAATAATAATATTATATAAGCCACACAACTCGTCTAATGCTCTCGTAGCTACTTTGACGTTGTATTAAATTTAATACTGCAGTCTTTTCTAGCTTAAGTAGATGGATTTAACCGTGGTTTGAAACTTACATGGAAGAGAGTGCGGTCTCTAAAACCATTAATAAATGTTTAGATAAAGTTGAACAACTCGTATAATAATGCGTAGGTAAGTGTTTTCATAACTTTCTTACTAACACGACTGTAATTATAATAATATTATTATTATAATACTAGCGCGATACTTAAAAAATTTAATAATTTTTTAATGTAACGTTTACCAAAATATTTGTTTTAGTAGTATAATATATTCTATAAGTATGTAAAGACTCAATATAATATCGTCAATTACCTAGCAAATATAAACCTCTTGAGATAGATTTAATTTTTTTTATAAAACTGTAGTCGAAAAAACTGTTAAGAAATTTAAAATTAAAAAGTAACATCCTCAATTTACCAATCAGATCAAAAATGCCGCAAGAAATTCAGGGTTGGTGCTAGCAATTATTGATTGTGGGGTCAAACAAATTTGATGAATTTTTTTTGCTTATCGGCCCTTTTAGATTAATATTTTTTTAGGCACTGCCGTAGTGCTCTGTATATTGTCACGGGTATTATTACACACTACAAGGCTAATAAAATTTAAATGACTTAATTTATTTGCCAGTTAATGTAAAATAAATGAAATTTCGGATTACTCAACAATTTTTTTATAATTGCAGACTAGAAATTTGATTACCATTAGTGGGGGTTATACTCCCAGTTAGTATCCAGCACTGCTATGGCAGTTTACGATTTTTAGCAATCTATTAGTTTTACAGATCAATTTTTTTTTCGGACAAACAATTAAATATCATCTTAAAATATAATATAATTTAATGTATTGACAAATAAATTATAATTTGGAATGTGGACCTAAAATTTAATAATATAAGTTACATATACAATTTTCAAATCGCCTGCCGCAACAAAAAAGGTCTTATCTCCTTAAAGGTCGTATTTCCGGGGTACCGTTCTTATAATTTTCGGAAAACTGCTTATCATTGGGAAAAGGTCGTATAACACGTCCAAAGAAATTACATTTGAATTTGGTAAAAGCGAAATACAACCTTTTTAGTTGCGGTGGATGATATATTTATTTGTTTGAAACACAACGGATCGGTATAATAATTGTATCAGTCAAAAAAAAGGTACAAATGTAAAATATATATAACACAGTAATCTACGTATCTCGCATCTAATAATATTATTAAAACGCGAGGAAACGGCCCGTTTCGAAATTATTAAATATTCTTTGTAGTCGATTTTAATAATAATTTATGTTGTGCAAATTAATTCAAACACTTTTGTTGTTGTATAGACGTACCTCGCAAAAGACAATAATAATAATGTTTTTGGTTTTCATCTTAGACATAACAATAATATTTAATTATTACATTATTATAATAAATAAAATACAAGTGTTCTAAGCCACCAAGTGAAACAATTCAATTTGTGGTTTCCAGGTTGACTGCAGCTGCGTATCCAAAATAATCAAATTACCTACCGAAATATTTTTCCAACCGTCTAGTTAAAAATAAATAACCAAAAAATATTTATAGTAATCATTTATGTTTTTATTAATTTAATAAATTTAAAAAATATAAAATAACGACATATAACGTAATATGTGTCACTTATAACATAAGTTTCAAATATTTATATAAGATCAATGTACTTGTGTAGTAAAATGAAAGGAAAACAAAGGTTGAATTTTAATAGTAGAAAATGAAGCACTATTCCACCCCCTCCCATTGTAAATAGCTATCGTTTTATTTAAATTCTTTAAATGCTTGTTTCTGCTACGATGAACTGTAAAAAATAACACATCTTAGTAAAATGATATTATTACACAGAAACTATAAATAATCGTACAAATTTCACATGATAAATCATTAGGAGCAATTGTATAATAATTATGTTGGTTTATTATAATTTAAAATTCGTCGGCTTTATAAATAATAATAATAAATGGGTTGTTTACACGGACTAAATCGTTCTTGTACAAAGAATTTGTTTGCAACATATTTATAACGTGAACTCGTGAATATTCTATGATTTCGTTGTTTTTTTTTTTCACGAGGAGATATTGCAGTTTGATTTATAGTACAGCACGCGACGCATAAAAATAATAAAGTGCAATAATAATAATATTGCTGTATTTCATTCATAAATACGAATTGCTGATCGGCTTTGCAATACTGATACGATTGATACGCGTTGTATTTTTCGCAATTAATATCGCTTGTATATAAATCAATAATAACAAGTATTGCCAATTGTTTACAATAAATTACATACTTGTTTAATTCCGTAACAATAATGTTACGAACTCTATTAAAACGCCTATATAATTTATTATACTGAAACAAACAAAACATGTTCGGTTTTAGCGGACAATACGATGGTGAGTGTTTGTTATATTCGGCGGATTTACATGTGCATTAAAAATATTCAAACTGAATATTTGATCGTTCTCTGAAAAAAACAAAATGTGTCCATATATTGCGCGTTCTTTATCAAAAAACACTACAATATAGAAAAAAAATTATAGAAAAACAGCGGAAAAATGTACGAAATGTAAGTATTAGAAATAAAATATCACAGCTTTTTTTTTGCTGTGGACATCTTTTCTACAATCAATTTTGTTTCAATTTACAATAATAGCACTTCTTCTGAAAGGAAATCTGACTGGGGTGGTACTTTAAGGAAGTTATTTTTTAATTTTCCCAATAAATAGAAAAAACCGGAAAAAACGTGGAAAAATGGAAAACCAGGTTCAATATTAAACTAATATTATTAAAGAAAATATATAATACATATGTAATTACTTAACCATAATATGATAGATATGATGTTGAAAAGCAACACTATCAACCAAAAGCAAATGGTTATTTGTACATACAAAAATTATCCCAATTTCCCAAATTCTCATCTACAACAATTGCTGCACCCGTCCCCATTATCCTATGACAGCTTTTTATTCATATTTCTTTTATCTAAATAGACTTTTTCTAAGTTCAATTAATAAATAACATTATTTTTATACAATATTAAATTTATAATATTTGAATAAATCCCATTGTGTAAATAATATTTTTGGTACTCAATAATGTGTCTGAAGTACCATGTTTAAAACAGGTATAATTCGGGTTCTGGGTTTAACATTGAAGATCCTTATTTTCAAAAAAATCATAAACTATATTTAGGTTTAATTATTTCCACCGTGATAATAATAATTTTGTTACTGTAAAGTTTCTACATAGATGGTCACGGTTTGACAATAGCAGCTGCTCATCAATACTGATAATAACAATAACAATCGTTATAATAATTATAATGTACTCCATGTCTGAAGTGTAGGCAAATAAATACTATCATAGGTATCCGCACATCCTGCAAAGGGTCAAAACTCAAATTAATATCGTCGGGTGCTAACCAAAAGTATATAGGCACCTACGATCTCCGGGCCGAAGGACCAGACTTATTCGCCCGTCGCACCTCTGTAATGCAATTACGTGGGTAGAATGTCTACACATAAATACGTTTATTAACGGTAATAATATCG